TTCCTTTTACTTTCAAGAGCTGTAGGATCTGCCATGCTTGTGCTTAGCTATATTCCAGCATTTAAGAGACTGAGGCAGGAGGATTGTTAATTTGATGCCAGTCTGAGGACACAGCAAGGTACCATCTAATCCAAGCACAAGAGTGTAACTTCAGATGAATGGCAGTTTAGTGTATTTACATTTATTCACTCGTGTGTGTGTGTGTGTGTGTGTGTGCACTTTTTTTTTTTTTTTTGGTTTTTCGAGACAGGGTTTCTCTGTGTAGTTCTGGCTGTCCTGGAACTCACTTTGTAGACCAGGCTGGCCTCGAACTCAGAAATCCACCTGCCTCTGCCTCCCAAGTGCTGGGATTAAAGGCGTGTGCCACCATCGCCCGGCTTAAAAAAAACAAACAAACAAAACAAAAAAAAACAAAGGGTCGGGAGTGGGAAAGACAAGGCACTCGAATGACACGGGATCTCCCCCAACACCTGGCATCTTGGATTTTTCCTGACCCCAGGGGTGTCTTCCCCTCATAATAGGGACCTCCCCCAACACCGGCAGGGCAGCGCGCGGGGTGTGTGTGCACTTAATATAATAAAACCTTTTTAATGTTGCATGCATGTGGAGGATTGAGGATAACTTGCAAGGGTTAGAGAGAAATGCTATTATTCATTCATTCATTCATTCATTCATTCATTCATTCATTTATTTTACAACCCAATAACAACCCCTTCTCTCTTCCCAGTATCTCCTCATGCAAATCTTGCCCCGTTCCACTATCTCCTTCTCTTTTGAGAAGGGGAAGCTCCCTCTGGGTGTCACCTCCTACACTAACACCCCCTTCCGCCCCATGACTAGGCACATCCTCTCCCCCTGAGGCCAGACAAGGCAGTCCATTTAGGGACCTTTAGCCACTTTTCCTGGCTTCTTAGAACCTTCTTACCTCCCCATCTGTATTACTGGGATTGCATGTTGAACTATCACATCTAACTAGAGGGCTGTATTTTAAAAACATCTGTACACAGGGCTATAGAGATGGTTCAATGTTTAAAAACACTGCTGCTCTTGCAGAGGACCCAAGTTCCATCCCCAGTACCCACATGGCAGTTCATAATCACATGTAACTCCAGTTGCAGGAGATCTGATACTCTTTTCTGACCTCCAAAGTCACAAGGCATACTTAAATATGTACTTTAAGGAAACAAATCCCTTTAGACTTGGTAGCTCAGGCCTCAAATCCTCAGCATAGGGTGTATGGATGTAGTCCCTCCACTGCAAAAAGGTCACCTCTCCCAAAATACATTCTAATCCAATAGTCCTTTCTCACGTGACAACAACAAATACAACCTTCTTTTGAAAGAAATTGTAGGGTAGGGTAGGGCTGTGGTGGAGAGGTCTCAGCAGTTAAGAATGTTTGCTGTTCTTTCAGAAGACTCATATCAGGCAGTTGACAGCTGCTTGTAACTCCAGTTACAGGGGATCTGACTCTGTCTAACCTCTGTAGACACCTGTATATACATAGCATACACTCACACACATATACATGTAAACTACAATAAAAATTAAGACTGTGGCTCAAGCCTTCTGTCCCAGTGTTCAGGTGGCAGAGGCCAGAGACCATGAGTTCAAGGTTCATCTTAGCTACATATGGTTTTAGAGGTCAGCTACAGGAGACATTGTTTCTAAATGTCAAAATCAAACACACACACACACACACACACACACACACACACACACAATCCAGGGGTACTAAAACAAACAGAACCAAAGCAAGATGTTTGAACAACTTAGCCTATAAGCCCAGTTACTGGGAGGCTGGGGTAAGGGTGGTGACAGACACATGCTTGACTTCCAGCACTCAGGAGTCAGAAAGAGGCAAGAAGATCTGCAAATTCTAGCCAACTTGAACTACATGGTCAGTGCCACGACAGTTTAAGCAAGATATAAAAACTCGTCTCAACAAAACAAAAACTGTTTAAATCTCATCAGGCACATCTCCAAGACTGGAGAGACCAGCCTGGTCTATACAGTGAATTCTACATAATAAAATAAAATAAAATAAAATAAAATAAAATAAAATAAAATAAAATAAAATAAAAACCCTACAAATTAACAAACAGAAAGCATTTGTATTGAATCAAAGGTTCATTGGGAACCAAAACCAGTCTTCAATCTGTATATGAAAAGAAATAGGAGCCAGTTTTCTTTGCCATCTTGGGTCTATGTACTCAGTGGATATGGTCTAGCCCAGGTGAGATGGGCTGTCCCAATGCAGGTGGGTAACTACCAGATCTGGACAATGAAGATGGGGTTCCCAATCTAGCAGGAGCAGGCTTTCAGCCTTCCAAGTCTCTTCTCTGGTTCTTCTGAAGGCTTACAATGCTACCCACCCCTTAGCTGCCTCAGCTTCTAAACACAAGCTGTCATCAGATTGAATGTTTGCATTTCCTCCAGATACTTGTTGATGATAAGGGGATGGAGTGGATAGTCTCTTCTGTAACGATTTCCTGCTGAGCTGGGATGCTGTTGTCAGGGTCCAGGAAGGCTGGAATGTTGGTCAAGAGGCTGGGAAGGTAGGGAGTCAAGCTTTCTTGAGGGGCCAGACAATAATAATTTTTGGAAATTTGGGTGTGTCCAAACTGATCAGCTTTTTATGGAGAGATTGGATTGAGACTAAGGTGAAGGGCAATGGACCATTCTTGGGATTATTCCACAAATTCAGAGATTTACTTTCCTTCTATACCTTCTCTCTTACATTTATTTCATGTGTGTTAGTGTGTGTATGTATGTGGGCACACCTGTGCCATGGCATACTTGTAGATGTCAGAGGACAACTTCTGCTTTGAGTCAGGGCCTTGCTGTATGTAGTTGGTTTGAAATTCATTATGTAGCCCAAGCTAGCCCACAATTTTTTTTAAGCAAGTGAAACAGCAGAATTTTATTAGCCCAACCAAAATTTCCCATGCTAATATTAATGGTTACCAATTCAATACAAATCAAATTATTAATAAATAATAACTTTACATACATAATCACAAGTTGATAGCTTAAAAGCATTTATATCTTTTTAGGTGTTTATTTATTTGTGAGAAGACAGATTTCAGGACTCAATTCTCTCCTTCCACATATTTTTGATTTAAACAATTTGGTTCATATGAGTGATGTTAATATATTAGTATATTTCCATATCTGTTTCTTTTAAGTAGTTTCTTTAGTTCCTTCAAATACAAAGGCAGTAAGATTCAAGAGAAAAGTTGGATTGTATGAGGCAGGTCTCATTACCCATGAGCCATTTCACTCACACCACAGTCCCCACTCTCTAGTGCATGTTCTTTAGTCAGTGTGCTGACTGATGCTTTCTGAAGCATCCTCTATATTCTGGGGAACCTAGTGTGGCTTTGTCCTCAAAGCCAAGTCTCTTCATCATTTTAGAGCAAGGGTCTTCTATAGCCTGGGCTGGCATCATCCTTCATATTTAGCAAAAAATGACTTTGAACTGATCTTCCTTAAGTTTTTAGTTCTGAGATGACAAGCACACCCCCACAGTGTCCTGTCTGGTGCAAGCAGTGCTTGCTGGATGGTGAACCTTTGAGTGCTGGGCAGCAACTGCTTTATACATTGAGCGCTCTTTCCAGGCCCTTTGCTACAATATTAATGGATACAAGCCATCCTCTTTCCTCAGCCTTCTGAGAAGACATCACAGCAGATGACTGGTAGAGCATTTAGCTCAGCCCCTGATCCAGAACATACTCATAATTTTGCCAATAATAATAATAACAATAATAATATCAGCTTTTAAAAATATTTGTCGGGTACAGATTAACACTCCCATCCCCACTGACTCATACTTAGAACTGGATGGGTTACAAACGAATACAATCCAATCCCAGGAAGAAGGTGGAGATAGATTTCCTGAGAGTTGGAGTTCCAGATCAACCTTAGGTACAGAGCATGACCCCATCTCTTAAGTTTTAAGTCTCAGACCCTGGGACAAATGGCTGAGGTGCCTATTTAACATATCCATGTGGACCTGTCCGGCATGTTCTCCCAGCATCCCTCAGGCCCTACTTGTTACAGGATATGGTTGGCATACCTCACCTTCTACCCCAAATTCTCCAGTCCATGCCTTTGGTTGCCCTTTTCTATATAACCCAGCCATTTTGGTCCCCCCCCTCCTTCCCTCCCCTCCCCTCTCAATGGCTCAGGGGTCATATCCACTCTGACATCTCCCAGCTGTCTCTACCTATGCCCATACTATGCTATACTTTCCTTTTCATCTGCAATAAGCCTTCTCCTCCACCATACTTAGAAGCAGCCATGTCCTTATTTTTTCATTCATGAAAGAAATTCAAAACGAAGTGAATAAACAAGCAAATAAATAAGTAAAACAAATATAGAAATCAAACTGAATGGAGTGAATTAACGCATCGGCTCTGACTTTCACGGAATCTCAGTTTTTTTTTTTTAATTATTTTTTTTGAGACAGAATTTCACTACATAGTCCTGGCTGTATTGGAACTCAACGTAGAGCAGGCTGCTCTGGACATCACAGGGATCCGCCTGAATCGGCCTCTGGAGTTCTGGGATTAAAGGAGCGCACCGTTTGTTTCTCGCGGTTTTCAGGAGTTTTTTTTTTTTTTTCTTTTCCTCCTCTCAGTGAACTTGGCTTTCCCTCAACAGAGATCCGCCTGCATCTGCCTCTCCGCGGCGGGCGCGCGGTTTTCTAGGCTTTTTTCTCATTTTTTTCTTTTTCACGGAGAATAAGTTGTCAATCAATAAAGAGACAGGAAACGCCCAGACGTGGCGGAAACTCAATCATCCAATCAGCGGACGGCTTGTGGTTGACAGGCGGGGCTATAAACCGGAAATGTGAGACAGAATACGCGGAGGGGGGGGGAAAGCAAGCTTTAGGCCGGAAATGTAAAGACGGAACCCGGAGGAAATAAGCTTCAGGCCGGAAGTGTGAGACGGAATGCGGATGAAAACGCTTCAGGCCGGAAGTGTGAGACGAGATGCGGTTGAAAACGCTTCAGGCCGGAAGTGTGAGACGAGATGCGGTTAAAAACCGCTTCAGGCCGGAAGTGTGAGACGAGATGCTGTTAAAAACGCTTCAGGCCGGAAGTTTGAAGTGAAGATGGATATAAAAGCTTCAGCGAAGCTCGGGGAGATACTCAACAGCACTTGGAGGCCGAGCTTGGAGTGACTGCCTGGGTTTGCTGGGATTCTGAGTTCTGCCATCAGTTCTAGTTTCTGGTAAGTCAGTCACCTCCATAAGGGCACAGTTTTGATTGAGGGTGACTTGACTCAGGATGCCAAGAAACTGATTTCTTCTCTTCACAGGAACAGATCGCAGGCATTGAGTTTACTAATAGTGAAGTTTGCCATCATCTTCGAACTTAATTTGTTGGTTTCATTTATTAATTTTATTTTATCTGAGACAGGGCCTTACTTTGCTGCCCAGGCTCACCTAGAATGTATATTAGCCAAGAGTGCTTTTTAATTACCTGACAATTCTGCTTCTGCCGCACTAAGCTGGAACTACAAGCTTGGAGTTAATGGAATATCTAGAATTATTCCTTGGTTTGTGTCAAGTTAAAATTTACTTTCTTTGGTTTTTTAGATGTGGCCTTAGTCTCTAGCTCAGATTGGCTTCAGACTGCCTCACCCTTCTGAATGTTAGAATTAAAAGCCTGATTCAATATTTCAGGTGTATTTTAATATTTCTTTTTTCTTTTAGAGACAGAGTCATATGCAGAACATGTTGACGTAGAAGTCACAACACATTTTATTTGAAATGGAGTCTTATGTAGTCAAGGATCCAGATCATAAGACTCTCATATCCGATTTTACATTTTTTAAATTTATTTTAATTTTATTTTGAAGACATGGTCTTACCTGATCCTCAATTCCATCTTCTCAGTGTTTGGATTTTATTTACTTATTTATTTACATACTTACTTTGTTTTTTTAAGACTGAATTTCTCTATAGCCCTAGCTGTCCTGAAACTTGCTTTGTATGCCAGGCTGTCTTGGAACTCACAGAGATCCACTCACCTTTGCCTCGACTGTTTGGATTTCAGGCATGCAGTACCATGTCCAGCTAATGTCGCCTACTGACTTTAAATTTTTTTAAAGGCAGAGTCTCATTTAAGCTTAGGCTGGTCTCAATCGGACTCCTGGCCTTCCAACTCTACGTTTGATCAATTACCTTGGAATTCCTTAAATTATACTTCATAAGTTAGTGTTTTGAAATTTGAAATATAAATTGAGATTTGTTTTCTTTCTTTCTCTCTCTCTCTCTCTCTTTCCTTCCTTCCTTCCTTCCTTCCTTCCTTCCTTCCTTCCTTCCTTCCTTCCTTCTTTCTTTCTTTCTTTCTTTCTTTCTTTCTTTCTTTCTTTCTTTCTTTCT